TAAGTTTAGTGTTGGTTGATAAAGGTTTTTTACATATTTTTAAGATTTAAGATATATTTGTATAACTTAACAAATGTCAGAAACTTGCTTCTCAATAATTAAGTTTGTTACCTTTTTTTAAGTCGATTTCAAAGGTTATGTTGGTTTTGTTATATTCATTTAAACTGTATTCTTTTTTTAAATATTTTATAAATGTGATGTGGCCCCCAACAATAGTACAGTCCTTAGTGTTACAGTTATCTGAGTAAAACATACACTCGCCAGTTTTTTTTTTGGCGATAGCCATATTTTTTTGCCTGATAGAGGGACCCTAATAAAAGAGTCTTGCAGATTCCTTCAGGCCATAAAGAACCCCATTAATTTATAAGACGCTCTTTCTTTTTTGTTATAATGATCTATTAAAAGTTTTTCTGAGAAGTCTAACTTGTTCATGTTTAGGAACATACCTTGTAGTATACAAACATAGACTGGTGTATTTAGTTTCGTATATAAGAAGGCTGTTGTTATATCAGTGGTGTGGATGGGCATGTTTAAATTTTTTGATATAACAAATAATCGAAAAGATGGCTTTGAGAGGACAGGAGAAAAATTTTTTTTGATAATTAAAGTTAGGTATTTGTTGAAATCCTCTTGCTGTGAGTATAGTTTATATTGGGTGTTACTTTTTGTGTAGTCTCCATGTGCTCGTTGTAACTTTCATTTCGGGTATAGTATTAATGTCAATAATTTTAAATCCATCATGAACCATTAGTCATTCCAGTTTGTTCTTGGCCGCAGTTAAGTAGCAGTCTCTATTTTTTTCTGAATTCATAGTTTCATTGTAGGTTAAATAGTTATGTGCTGTAGGCCATGGATGTGTTTCGGTTTTTTTGCTTGATAAATATTACTTTTAAATTTCTTTTTTTGTTGAATGCTTTGTTGTTCCTCAAGTATACTTTAGGACGTGTTTTTATCTCAGGATAAAATCATTTTATTTTGAGAGAGATAATGGGATTAAGTTGTGGAAGATCAGTGATTGTAGGGTTTTAGATACTTTTTAAGTTGAAGCTGTTTGTTGCTTCTTGTGAAGTGACTTCAGTGAATGTGTGTGTTGTTTAATTTTGGAGTTGACGGGATTTTTAAGTAGGGGTCGCACGGATTAATTTCTCTTATATAAGTTGTCTTGTATAGTTACAAATGATGAGTTGTTTACAGGGATTTTATTAAAAAAAATTTGTGGTAGTGTTTGTGTTTTTATTTATATATTATTAGTTTAAGTTGAGTAGTGGAGGGTTAAGCTGTCTCCCTGTTGGTTTTTGTGAGTTGTCCATGTTGGGGTTGGGTTTTCATATCAGTAAGTAAATGTTGTTGTAGTATGTAGGTTGCCCTTAAGTGGCACGGTTTTTGGAGGAAGGTAGAGGTTTTTGTAAATCGTTGTCGTGAATCTCAGATTGCTCATATAATTTCTTTATTTTTATTTTAGTAATCGCATCGTAGTTTTTTAGTGGCCGGGGGGAGAGAGGAGGCTGAAAAATGGGTTTAATGTTAATTTTAGATGGGTAAGAGGGCTTGTTGATTGCATGTTAGCTACGTCATTAACATTATATGTAGGTTATAGGGGAAAAAAATCTTCCAAGCATTTTGTCTCGAGGACCTTACAAACTTGCCTTTGTGTTTAATATATTATATCCGTCATTAAATCAAAGGGTTTTGAAAGGAGAATACATTCTAAAATTCAAACTTGTGGCCTCTATTTTATAAAGGTTGCATCTTGAAGAGCTTCATTCTAGCAATTTATCGGGAGCTTTTTTTTAATATGCATCTGGTCATATTAGTGTTTGTGTACTTCTCGCTCTCATATATATTTTGGAATGTCTTCGGGAACTGTATGATAGTTTAGTACCCTCTTCTTGAACGTCTTGAAGCAGTCTGTTATTTATAAACTCACTTCCTTTATCTGTTCTTATTTCCTCTATGAACGCAGTGGATGTTTTACCATTTATTATGGGATTTTCTAAATATTTATTGCGCCCTTTAAGCCAATGAGTTAGTAACTGCTTGAAAAATTTTTATATTTGGCATATAATTTTATAATTCTTTGTAATTTTGCTTCGGTAGCAACAACTACGTATCTGCAGTCATCATAAGTGGGAATGTCCCAGTACATAGTATAAATGTATAATTAGTAGTCCGAATTTTAATTTATCGAGGCTTCCGCTCTTCTTATTGACCTTTTTTTCTTTTTCATTTTATATTTAAAATTGAATCACCTTTCAGCACGGATTTAAAATTTGAATATAGAAGATGACTACATATCATTTCATTTGTTAGGCACCTTTTAAATTCTATTGCTATATGTAGGTGTACATATATTATATGTATTATTAGTAAACCACACGTGTGACTCCTCCATTTTTACTTCTGTTTTTTCCTTTCTCTCCTTTTCGATTTTTACCCCGTCTTTAGTTTCTAGTTTTACGGTGGTCTAGAGGGCATTACATGGAGAAATTAGTAAATAGCTTAGTAGTCTAGAGGACACTAAGTAAATAATTAATTAGTTTTACTAAATATGTTAAACATTAAGAAACTTTATTCAAACATTTTAAACTTAAGACAAATTTCATAGTCATTTCTAAGTTAAGATACGTTTAGAAAAATTTAAGGTAGTGATAACAGATGTGGATGTATATGTAGTGCTCTTTAGGGGCTATACAGGGCGCCTCTTAACTTTTTGTTGTAAACATAGGGTAACTGCCAATGTAGTTGCCGGTACCTAAAAAGAGGATTCGTCCTATTTGTCCCTTATGCAATAATGCAGTCCTTCTTTCTATGTACAGGTTACTATTATCAACATGTACATTATAACCTTTTTTCACTTGTTTTACCTGCAGAAAAGAGGTCATGTTTAAAAATTAGTATTGAAGGTAGCTTCCCCATTATCAAAATAATTTGAATTTTTAGTTTTATAAGCTGTAGAACGACCGGTAATTGTATTAATTACAATTTTATCATACTTTTCGCTAGTTACAAGTTCAACTTTAATGTAGCTAGGATAAGCGCCACTATCTGCTATCATTTCATGTCCGACAGTACGCCCTTTCCCGTAGTTCTTGGTGGCGTGATGTTTCGATAATCTTTATAAGCAGGCCTCCTCAATGTGACCTATTTTCCCGCAAAATGAACAGGTCTCCCTGGTGTGGGGCAACTGGGATCTCAAGTCGGGGTCATCGCAGCCCTTGCATTTAAAGTTTCTTTTTTCACTATTGATAGAAGGGTATCGACCTATGTAAGATTAAGTTTTACTGATGGGGGTGAAAGAGTTAATTTCAGTTCCGTAGTCTAGTTTCCTCTTAAAGTAAAGCGTTAAGTGCATATTTATAATCAGAGAATTAGGATAATTGGAATAATTTGTTCTAGAGATATCGCATCAAGCTAAATTCGCAATATTCTTTACTTGTTCGTTTTTACTATTATATTTATACAAAGTAACCAATTGTTTTTTTTAATCATGATTTTACAGATTATTGGGGGTAGCCAGAAATGAGATGCTGTAAAAGTACCAAAAGTTAAGATCAACGAATGAGATCGCAGTCGCGTGTTGCAGCACCCTTTATCCGGCCTTGTTGAATATGTTCATGTTCCTTACAAAAACATTTCTTATACAGTCTTACATTACTCAGTAATCCTAACAATATAATATCCATAAGGGTAATAGACAAAAATATAATTTTAGTCAACTATAAGAGCAGGCAAAAAAAACTACAAATAGTACTAATAAATATAGCAAGGGATTAGTTATGTCTCATATTTATCGTAATTTCTAATGGGTAGGCGCGGTCCTATATGTTTTATAACATTTTTCTTTTTCCTTTTTTTCTTTGCCTCGTGTTACCGAGGCGATCAAAAAGTAATGTGTTAGAGGATGGATAAATATATTCACCAAAATAGAGGGAAAAGGAATTTAACTTTATAGTAGAACCGAATCTTTTGGAGAAACTCTTGAGGTTATCGCCACCAATGAGTATTAGGAGATAACCTACAACGCATTTTCGGGCCATAAACATTCGCGAGGGGTTGTTAAAGTTACCATATATAAAAATGCTAGATTTATAGAGTACATTTGTATCTAATATATGTCTCTGTAGTGCGCACTCCAAATGCAGCTTTAATTTTTAGAAAAGAGTGTGAGAAAGTCCAAAAAACCTGTTCTCTTATTACTCTTACTCTTATACAGCGCTATAGATTAATCGTAAGATCTACGCGATAGAAGAATTCGAACAAGCGCTTGTTAAAAGTTAGAAAGTCTAGTATCCTGCTCGAATGTACACTTAGGATTAAAGTCTATCTATTCTTTTTTCTGTTTTCACGTTTTTTTTCTTTCTTAGTTTTAAATTGCTATATTGCAAAATAAACATTTTAAGTAGTAGGTTTTAGCTTACAAGTTAGTTATTGACTAAAATTATTGTAAAATTTCTGTTATAACAAAAGTTATGCTCACTCTATAAATGCGCAGTTTACAAAAGAGATAGATTTTTAGAGTTGTTTAGTAAAGTTTCATTAGCATTGCAAGTTAGCTTACTAAGTTTTTACTATTATTATGACACTTTTGAGTACAATCTCATTAATAGAAATAGTTTTGGTTAAGAAAGTATACAACTTTTTAAGGCCTGTTGAAATATGTTTTATTTAAGTTTTGATCTTGTCCTCAATTAACCACATTTTTTTAATTTCTTAAAAATTTCACGCATAGATATTAGTAAATTTATGCAGAAAAACGGTCTAATACGGCTGAATAAAACAGCGTTTAAATTTAAAAACTGCAAGATTTCCCCGATATAATAAAAATAGAAAAGAATAACCTGAAGATATCTATTTATAGTACGGTTATGTTTATTAGGCCCAAATCACTCCCTCTTTATACCCCATAACATATTTGTAATGAGTAACATGAGTCTTCATAAGTACTGCATTATGCCCCGTTGAGATCATATGCGTTTTGCGTATGAGGTTAGTATTGCTTGCATTCAAATTCATTTCCCGCAGAGGTCGGTAGATAGGTACCTTTAGTTCACTGCTCCTTTTAAGGCTCTGGTGTTTATGCTCTACCATTAAGAATGCCAGTTCATACCGAGCTGTATGATTTACTAGGTGTCAGCCCGGAAGCAACTGACTCAGAAATAAGAAAGGGTTATTCTATGCTTTGAATTAAAGTTTTTTATTTTTTTTTATAAACATATGTCTTAGTTAAACTTATTACCGGTTTGAAAGGTTATCTAATTCAGGCAAGAAAATGGCATCCAGATAGATGCAGTACAACTGACTGCGAAGAGCGTTTCAAGAATATTTCAGAGGCTTACAAAATTTTAAGCGATCACGATTTAAAACTTATATACGATCAGTCAGGGCTGAAGGACGTGAAAGTTGCGCAACAACAAGCAGGTTTTGACGTAGTGGAACAGACTAAGGAGGTTTAAGTAATCTACTAAGAAGCATGTCTGGTACTCAGTTGCTGTAAAAACAGACTGTTCGTGCTCTCTTCGGCTTCGGAAAATTTGAAACTTTATTTGGGGATGTTACAACACTCCCTCTTTTTGTGAACGCTATTCACTTTCTTTCTGTACTCTATTTTTACTTTTTTTGCCTTAATTTAACATTTTCTTTTTATTTTGAAAAGACGGACGTGATTACTAATATATATTTATTAACGACGCTTTAAGAATTCTCTATCCACCTCTGGAAAAGCTCTTGAGGCTGATGAATCGATTAAACTGAGCTTAGAGAGAAAGGCGTTTTTATATACGGCTTATAATTATAAAGGACTAAAGCGGTTTTTTTACAGGAAAAGGAGGAAGCCGAGCGACAAGAAGAGCTTCTCACCACCAACTTGGCTTATATACTTAAAGCAAAAGTTATTTAGTGTTCTGCTATAAAGTGACTTTTTTTGTTTTTAAAGGAGCTTTATTATGTTGTTAATCTTAATTTTTTATCAAATTTTCATAACTTTATTGCTTCCTTGAGAACGTGTAAATAGTTTCTTAATTCTAATTAATAAAATTTTTATAACCAAGGTAAAGCCTTGTTTAGGGGGTCCAGAAGAAAAAGAAGCTTTTAAACAGCTGATCTATTATGAAGCCGTTCATTTAGTGTTTTTTTATTTATATAATATAAACCTTTTTTTTATTTATTGTCCTTTTATATATATATATTTTTAGTGCAGCTTTCCCGGCGGTAAGGATCTTTTAGGGTGTGTGGCTTACATCTACAAACAGGAAGCGAAGCAGCACTTGAAAAGATTTTTAGGGGTGGAGGTGTTTAAGTTACGAGATCTTTTTTAGCGCTCCGCTAGTTTGTTTTTATAGGGATTCATCTCGGAAGTGGCTGAGAAGAAGCACGTACTTGGCCAGAAGTTGGGCATTGCCTCCCACGCCGTTCGCTTGATGGTCACCACTAACAAGCTCCAGCGGGAGGTAAGGTCTCCGAGTTGTTAATGTCTCTTTTACTTACCAGTGGTGTTTTTTTTCTGAGCAGATGGACAAAGAAGAAAAACTCAAGCTTCAAGGACAGGAAGTGGTTGCTGCTCTTGTGGAGTCTTCTCCGTCTAGTGATCTCGCTCAATCCAGTACAGTGCAGAACAGCGGTAGAAAAGATTCTAAAGGCTTTTCCGTTCCGCCGGATGGGCTCGAGTCGACCACCGTAAAGCAACAGCAATTGTTAGAAGAGATTTTTTCGCAAGGTTGGCAAGTTGCCTATTCGAAGAGAATTACTATATTTAATGGTGGTATTCTTGCAGGTCTGACAGCTTTTTGGAAACTGGGAAAATACCTCCTTGAAGAGGTGCAAATTGCGAAGTAAAGCCTCTATTAAATGCGAACTCAACCTTGCACTCTCCAGAGAGTTCGAAAAGCTTGCGAGAAGATGATGGCGCTGGAAAGAAACCCCGATGTGCGTAACAGAGAAATTGAGGCAGTTTTGGAAATTGGGGAGATCTACGACAAAGTAAGTCGTAGAAGCAAAAGGCATAACACAAGCGGTGGCATTCTTGACTATGCGCACGAGAAAGTCGGATTACGGAAAAGTTAGCTTTGGGAGATTTTGAAACATCAAAAAATTTAATAGTTTATATTCTCCTCCCCCTATTTATAAACTTTTATTAACTTATAAAAAAAAGATCAGTTCAGCTGTTTGTTGTGGTTGAATAGTCCTCCTGTGTTTAGTTGTTACTTCAGCGTTGCTTGCGGTGTATTTCATACCAAAGTATAAAGATTTTGAATAAGTGTCTTTTTAAATATTCACGTCCATCCTGCTCATTACAGAAATATCAGAGGTAAGGATTTTTAAATTAAACTTCTATGGAATATGTATATCTTCACCAAATTTTAAGACCTTAAGGAATTTTATTATAATTGATTGTCGAATGCTTTTTAAATTTGTATTTGAGTAGGTAAGTAGTCAACTCGCAAAATCTTTTCTAAGTAATTAGTTATCAAAGAATTGATCTTGCTTTATTTATATAGTAAATCTTAAGATGGTATCCGTACTTGATAGAAATTGTTTACTATATTTTTCTTCCGCGCGACATTACTTATTTTTTCTACAAGTATTATGTCCAACTGGGCAAGATGCTTTGTATAATGCTAATTGTAATAGACTATATCCAAAAATCAATTTTATAACGGCCTTCAGTCAGGTATGTTTTTCCAGTCGTAAGTGACCTGTACTTCACCAGCGCGCTTAAATTTAATATTCTTACGATATAAATTAGCCTCGAAAGCTCCACATAGCTTAATTTTAGATTTTACAAAATTTATTGAATATAACACGTAATTTATTATATTCTGCTCATTATTGCTGTTTTTTATTAAGGAAACTAAACGATGAGGAGCTTTAATTATTTAATACTGTACATTTTTTAAGAATGAATAATCTGCATCTTTAATCTTTCCGTTTACTATTGTGAATAGCGAAAGTAGGACTTATGATCTAATAATCTTATTTTCTGTGGGCTTCAAAACTAAGACTCTCCCCTCGTGTGGATTCAAACCCTTATTTGCTCTGCTCATGTGGCTTTAGTTAATTTTCTTTTTTCCTACTGTTTGAACGCGTTTTTTAAAAAAACAGTAAAAAGAATAAAATCATATTGATTCTGGAATCAAAACATTACTATACTGCATGAAGGTGCCTTCAGCGTGGCTTAAGCTAAAAATAATAAGAGAAACTGAAAGAGAGATCTTTAGAATCGAAGATGTCTGGGTTCTTCATAGCTACGATTTATATAGAGAAAAAATAAACACGAAACTAAACGTTCTTAACGAGATTTATGGAAAAATAAGTTTCGTAAGTTGCTAACTTTCGTACAGTTGGACATATTCCGCAGGAAACCTGCTTTGAACAATACAAACTTGGCTGAAAGTAGATAAACAAAAGAAACTCACGCTCCAGCTCGGCCGGTTTCGTCGTATCCGTACCACCAGCTAAAAAGCATGAAAAATTAAAAAAAAAGAAATTAAATTCTTTACATTCCTGCAGTGCATTTCTATAGTACTTTTCATCGAGAGCGGTGATGCCGTAAAGAATGGCTCCGGGTACCAGCGTTAGCTCCTCCTCATCCGCTGCTCAAAAACTTATTATAAAGAATTACCCATAGTGGCAGTCTTGAGACCTGCTTGATAGTCGTAAAGAACTGTGGCAGTGTACTTGTTCTCCTTTGTGCAGGAAACGGGGGATGCACTTTGCTCCACATAGCCCTCTTCGCTGTGCCGTACTTGGTCATCGGGATCCTGGCGACTGGGCTGCTCGAACACCTCTGGAACCTAACAATCCCCCCTCGCCGAGCGGGCAGAAAAGTGAACTGGACAAAGCGAAAAGTACAATACTCTTGACGGGTAGGCCGCCGACTCTTTCAGTAGCTCCTGGACTTTCTCTTCCTCCCTCCTTTTATAGCTCGTTGGGGATGGTTGCCTTTCAAACTTCTCTTTTAACGAAGAAGTCTTTCCAGGAATAATTTGAGGTTTTTTATACAGGGTCCCCTAAGAAGAAGGAAATTTTAAGAAAAAAAAGTAAATTTAAAAAGACCGGCCAAGCAGATTACTACTAAAGGTTCTTAGATTTTCCAAACTAGCAGTTAATAAAGCTGGGCAAGGAATAAATACCACTGGGGAGCTTGGAGGATGGACAGAAGCCACTTTCCTAGAATTTGAAAACTTTTTTACGTGGTCCTCTAACTGATAACGGAAAGTTGTATAGCTCGAATGAAGCATTTACTTATTATAATACTCTCTTCAAAACTGAAGCCTTTTCAATATCCTGTTCACAGCGTGCGTGGAAAGTCAAGTGAGAAACTTTAAAAAGGTGTTGCTAAGAAGATTTGTAACAAAGAAGCCAAAAGAAACTACCTTTGAACAACTTTTCTATAGCAACGGAGTGTTGAGCCGCAATCGCTTTGCGCGCTATAGGGGCTGCTTCTCCGATCTTAGTGCAACAGTTTTTTTTTTTTAAATTTAAAAAGGTTATCAAAATATAATTACTAATCTTATATAAAAATAAGTTTATAATATATATATTATTAAGTGTGAAAGGAAGGGTAACTATATAACAGCTGTTAAACTTACATAAATTATATAAATATATTTTGGTTGGTCAACTTGGTCCACTTTAACTTTAACAAAACCATATAAAACCAGCGTATCTTCTGCTAAGCTAGGAATGAATCCATCTAAACCATCTTCTATTTTCGAGTTAACAAATTAGGCGCTGAAACCTCTATTTATTTAAAAATATTATGAAAGATACCTCCGAAATCTCTTACTTCAATGGTATCTGAATTTTTTACGTATCCAAGAACTAACCTAAAGATAAAATACACTTTAAAAGGAAAGGGTAAGCTTTGAGTCTAGAATTAATAGCGTACAAAAAGGAAACAATTATTTAGTTAAAACATATTTTTATAGATAAAAAAAAGGACTCGCCAGTTAGTAGGCGAACTTTCATCATATATCTCGTTGCATACAGTCATAATTTCAGACCCATGGGTTGCCAAGTCACACATTTCTAGTTTGGATATATTGGAAAAAACCGTGAACTTCTTTAAGTCCGTATTCTCTGCACAACGTTATGCTTGGTGGTTACCGCTTTTTAGCCTCGCGGTGTTTAAAACTACGTTTTAACCTCCCCCCCCCCGTCGGGCATTTTCTCCTTGATAGTTCAAACTACTTTTAGTTTAAACTGTTACAGCAACTAATAATTTCCTGTTTACAACATCTAACACTTTGCAAGATTCTATTCTTTAAAACTTTTAAAACGTATAATTACGGCGAAATACAGTTTTTATTAGGAGTTAGTCGTTCTCCATGACTTTACACTCGACATGTAAATTATATTAACTAATAAAAACGAAAAGTCATTTGTTATAATTATTAAAATAACATTACGTGTAAAAGCAACTCACTAAATTAAATAAAAAGAATAATCTTTTAATAGAAATATTAATATTATCTGTGCTAAGAAATAAGAAAATTATAATGTAATAGTAATTAGGCGTTACCACATCTAAATTTAACCCTATAGGTTACCAGTTACTATGTTTACCACTTTTCGTCTTGTTTCAGTGTGCAAAAGTAGATCTGTAGAAATTGTCCCTAAATGATAGGCTCGGTCCCTGAACAATATCTGGCAAGTTTTGAGTAACATGTTTTAACGGATTAGGCAGCAAACAAGAAAACATAAAAAAGTGGTAAATTTAGTTACCAGCGAACGTAAAACAAATCTATTTTGAAGCCCAAGAGTTTTGCCCGTTAAAGGTTAATCTCGTAATTAATAAGACGAGCAAGGCTTTGGTTTAACATAGTGGAGACCCTTCTCTGCGTTGCCCTATTTTTATGGCTTGTGTACAATACGTTGATCTTTTCAATATTATTAGGAATTAGTTTTTAATGGACCTTTACTTGAAAATATTTTTAAAACCTTTAAACGTATGTGTGAAGAGAGTTTATAATATTTTTTGAGAAATATATGTATTACTTTTAAGGAAGATAATAACCTTTTTAGTTGATAGTCGACCAACTACTGCTGAGGTTTAAGCTTGCAAGCTAACCGCGCTTTCGAATCTCATAGTCCAATGAAAAATTTTGGATCGTATGCTTTTCAATACATATTTTATAGTTGAAATTACATGCGTTAATGTATTTATTAAGGCATGTCTTTAACCGCAGCTAATTAAACGGTGACTCAAGGCGACCCTACAAATAAAGTATAGGGGGGAACTGAAATATTCTCATTAGCCCGATCTTAATTATTTTCTCTATAATAAAAGACTCACCGTTTGCATTCCACCTAAGTTCTCTTTCTTCTGCTAGTCTGCTGATTATTAACACCGTTTTTGTTTTTAGTAGGAAAGACTTTCATTGTATTAGCTTGTTTGTTATTATTCATACTTCTTGTTTCTAACTTTTTAAATACCTTCATTATATTGTAATTATATCCACTTTTAGACTTTTTGTTATCTTCCTAGAGCATTGCGCTCTCAGAATTGGGGTTGTCTTTATCAACATTATTCTGTTGGAATTTATGAGGGAAGTTAAGTACGCATGTTTTTGTAGTTAAATCTTGGGCCAAGAGTTCAGTTAGACTTAACCTCCATCGTTGTTTACTGTTTGTTCCTCAAAGCGGCGTCTAGGTGCGCGTGCTTATAATTAATTAGAAAATATAAAGGTGAGATTTAGTATGCAACCATCAGAGACCAAAAAAAATTGTTAAAGGATCGAAACCACGATCTTGGGTTGTACTTCAATGCTCTTGATTTTTGAGTTACGATGACCACTCTAAATCCCAGTATAAGATATTTATTATTTATTCCGTTATATTTTAAGTTATAATGGTTATTAATCACTAATATTATATTTATTTGCTGAGGAATTTATATTTTACGCACAAGTCTATATAAGTTAAAAAAAAAATTCAACTTTTGAGGATAGGGAGAGGTAACTTCGAAAATACAAAATCAACAAGAGTTTAGAAAAGACGATAAGAGAGTTGATTATTGATAACATGGATCCTCTAATTGCAAAAGAGCCTAAATTATTGCCTTAACGTTTAAAAAACCACATCCGCTTCACGTTGCCTTTTTATAAGCAATAAAACACAAATCCTTTACCTATATTATAGAAAAAGTGGCGAATAATTTACAAGCCGAAAATCTTCTCCTAGGATTAACTGCAAGCATGTTATCTACCTAATACAAGGCTTGACTATATGAGTAAGGCTATTACATTTACAACTCTGATGTTCTACTTAAGCGGGCGGTCTCTTAAAATACATTCCCCCCTCTTCCGCTAAGAGCTTGGAAGAAACCTATTATGGGTGTTTTCCTTAGTGTAAGGCAACTGTTAAATTTTTAAAAAAGTTTAGAAGTGTCAAAGAGCTGGCAAAATCCGGCTATGTAATTATTGCTTTTCATTTAAAAGGCACATAACAAAAGCAAGATGAGTATATAAGCTTAATAAAGCTGCAAGGTTTTTTTTCATTTCTTAAACAGCTCTCTCAGTAAATTTTATTGTTAAAATAAAACAGGCACCTTGCCATAGTGTCAAAGAGGTGAACTGTATACAATAAAATTTTTCGTGTTAATAGGGTAAAGCTATTTTTTGTTTAGAAATTGTTAAATGCTTACGAGGCCCTTACAAACTCTACCAAATTCTTTTTTACTTTTTTCTAGTATATTTTTTGTCTTTTCTTTAATTATTATCACATACCGACTTTCTTTCTCAATTATTTTTTTATTAATTAATTAAAATCATTTTAGTTAATTTCTTCATTATATCCTTTACACAAGCAACAATCGAGAATTAAAATAAAAAAAGAGGGCAAAGTAATACATATACCTGATAAAAAGAGAGGAAAACCATGGGTCTACTTTTTAAATTAATATATAAACTAGAATGTACCGCGATTGGTATATATTAGTTAATTTTAGAGAAGTAAACAATTCAGCTACGTAGCTAATATACTAATCGAAAAATTTTAGTAATCGTAAAAAGAGCTGCTAAGAGACTTACTGCATTTTCTTACACTCACTTGAGTAAAGCACAGTAGGCTCAGTTTTTATATATTATTATTTATTTATTATCACTGGCTTGCTAAAGGCGTGATTTATAATCAGTTACTGCTTAATCTACTTCTCTACTAAATGAGGGTACGGAATCACAATTTCCTTAATGATTCATTGCGCTATCAACTAGAAGAACGAGTACGCTTTGTCTAAATAGAATACATTAACACAGAAATAATATCAAAGTAATAAAAATGTTACATGTAATAAAATCGTTAAGTTTTATACCTTTATACTATTAGAAAAATATATATATTAGTATGTATTAACAAAAGTTAATATAATGAACTAAAATCGGCCATATTCCCCCTCTATTAGATCTTGGTGTACTAACGAGAATTATAATCAAGTGCCTGCCTAATTAGTATGGTGACTACCGACTCTGAAGCCAGCTCCCAGTATATATTAATTTCTGTCATATTGTACTTGTTATATAACCTTCGAAGTGCGGGTTGTATCTTATTTAAAGACCCACCACAGAAATATAACGTTCGTGTACCCTTCTTTTATAAGATGAATAAAGCAAACTGTACTTGTGATAATGCCACCTTTCCTATTTGCTGCACTCTTAAGAAAACCAATATTTTATCTAAATATGCACGTTTTCGACTGCTGTACTAAGGCTTCTTCCAAGGTGCTCAACATTAGCATCATGCAAGGCATACATAATTAACTGCTAAGAAAACATGGAATATTAAAAAGATTTGAAAGTGTTATTCTATGGTGTTCGTGCTTACTAATATAGTATAGAAAATTTTTTGTTGAGAAATTTTTGGTTTTCTTAGGGTGCATGCGTGCCGGTGTACCATATTTATCTCATTTAATATATTAAAACATCTTTATAAATCCTAGAATTTCATGAATATACTAAAACAAATTTGCTTTGCCAAAATATCGGATATAATTCCAATTTAAATCTTAAGAAAACAGTCTATCAATGACAGAATTTAACAGCAACCTTATATATATCCAACTTGGTATTCTTCCAGTCCTATTCGCTACGGTTATTTAATAGTAAGTACGATAACATCGGCCTTTAAGAAGGGGCCTCACGCAGTAATTGAAGGTATAGAAAGCTTCCTTTCAGAAAATAAAAGACTTTTGAAAAGTGCTTATGAGCTCCATGACTATAACAAAATGAACTTTACTTTTGAATATGGCTCTGAGTCAGCTAAGATTAAAAATACCTTAAATAAAAAGAAAATTGGGAGCACGCATTATTGGAAAGTTTTTATACGTTGTTTGGATTCTCTAGAGTCGGTATTATTATATATTACTTTATTAAACAAGGCTATTATTCTCTATATAGTAAAGATTTATTTTTTATGTTAATATTAGCAGTAGTATTAACTTATCCACCTTTTCAAGGAAACCTTCTCAATAATTAACCACGTTGAATTTTTGCTTTACGATGGTTATGAAGATCCTTTGCGTGTAGCCAGACAACCACCTTTCTTAGTAAAAGAAGAGGGGTATAAGTTAATATGTTAAGTTGTTCTACTCCGTTCTAATTTTCTTTGGCAAAGTTGGGGGGAGTTTGGGGTAATAATAAACGTATACTTTAAAAATAATAAAACTCCTCAGAGATTGACAACTTATTTGAAACTTAATGATAAAGGCTCTCTATTTATTAAAGCCAAGAAGAAGAGGGTGGTAAGATTTTTAAAAAAAAGTCTACTTTCCAGCAAAATCTATTTTTAGATGGTCCCTTTTTTGAGCTTACCACCGGAACACTGAGAGCCACTTATGGAAAAAATCATTTCTGGTTGTATCTTTAAATAATCTACGTATGCTTGTATACGAAAATATTATCTTTTTAGAGGTTATTCAGAATCATTGTAAAGATGGAAAACGACTGGAGTCATTTTCATATTCCACAATGGGTTATACTCTAACCAAGCGGCTTGCCGCTGTTATATCAGAACCAACAATCTATTTTGAGCACATGGTCAGATGTTTTAAAAAAACGTTGCAGTTTTACAAAGACTCCTTAGTGAAGTTACCTGTCTATAAGGAGTGCCATCTTTATTCTAATTTTGTCGAGACGAAAAATTCAGATAAAACTGTGTGTAGAGATCAAACTATTAATTGCAATGAATGCATTGAACATAAGAATAAACTTCTGATTAACTGTAAATCTGGCAATAGTATTGATAACGGTGACAATCCAAAAAGTTTTGTTGCACACGGTACAAAAACATTCGATGATAATCGCAGTACTTCTTTAAGATTAACTTATAGAAAAGAGAACACTTCATTTTTTGGAATACCGAATCAAGTAATAGCCATAGAGCTATTAATGTTGAAAATAATTTTTCTAAAAGTTGCTATTGCAGTATAGATCGGAACATTGAAATAAGTGATTATAAAAGTAACTTTATAAGCACCGCCGATAGCTTGGACTTTACTCGTTCACATCATTCAGACGAAAATAAAGAAATACCACTAAAGGAAAGTATTTTACCTATATCAAAGCTCTCTCATCTTCAAAGTTATAGACTTACCAAAGAAATATTAAACTTGCGAGATCCTATTCTTTATAAAGTTTATACAATTGCCAAAAGGGAGCTTCGTCGTTTAAGAAAAGATTGGAAGGAGGCGTGCGGTAATGAAGAATTTTCATTCAATCTCGGTGAATTTAGCAATGAAACACTGCTGGAAGTCTTGAAAATAGTTAACGGATCGTACTAAACTAGTATGTTCCTATTTCTTATTTATTATTTAAAATAGCGGCCTTTGTGGAGATTCTCGCACTTTTAACTACATCTTTAGGTTATAATAAATTTTAATTTAAATAATTTTTAGTTACAAATATTATGATCTTAGCTGAGAGATCATATACTTTCCTTAATTTTAAGTAAAATTGATATTTTATTAACAACATTGCTTTTAATTAAAGCCAAGTTAATAATAAGCTTAAGTTTATCAATAACAGGCATATATAGGCTAAACATTTTGGCTACAGCTAAAAAGGAACGGAAATTTGGTTGACGTATAACAAATTTTCTTTTATAGTAACCAACTTCTAGTCTTCCTTTGAGCCTTTACTTATTTAAAAAGAGCTTATATGCTTTAGGTGCGAATGCGCACAAAGCAGCAATCTTAAAACGGTTTATACTAGAGAGGGTGTTAAGAAGTCTGTTAATGGTAGCAATTTAATATTTCTTTAAAGTACTCATCCGTTTAACCGAAGATTTAATGTTTTTTTTTTAAAAAAAAACTGGTTTCTAAAAAAGCTTTATTATTAACTATTTAAGCATTTCACAAAAGTACGAACTTATCTTTTAAAAAAAAAAAGACAACTTTTCGCGGGTTAAACGCACCTGCTATCACTAGTTTAGACCCGCAATTTAGGCTACGCTGTGCATGACCACATCACTTGTTTGTTACACAAGCAATCTTTAAACCATGTAACTAGATGTTTAATATGTTACAGACCTCAAATTTAAGTATAAAGGCTACTAACAAAAAGGCGCTACCTAGCAAGAATTCTTTGCAAACATTTATTAAAGATTTGCTTTTTGCAGGGGCACGACGGAAAGTCCCAAAAAAGTGCACAGAAAACCCGTTATGCCCTCAGAACTTATGGTAAGCAACTTAGACGCGAAAGAGGCGGATGGCTTCCTTTTAAAGAAAGCTGCCATACGTTCATTACCAACTTTAACCGACTTTAACAGTTTTTTTTTTCAAAAAAATAGATCAAAATTAGTTTGTGACATCAAGGTAAAATTAAGTGGGATTAAAATTTCTTTATTTGAGTACGCATTCTTAATTTTGAAGGAATAGCACTACTTATACACTAACGAATGCTGTACAACTTCTAGAAGTATTTCTTGAAAAAGGTGTACCTCCTTTACAAATTTGCTTTATAGGCCAATTCGCCTCCATAAAGGCTGTTTTACTAAATCAGTTAAAAGCAAAGTAAATAAAAAATGTGCGGTCCTAGTTAAGAAACCCAGGCCAGTTATTAATCTAAAGCGAGAAAATGACTTTCTATTCCTTTTAAAGATCAATGACACTTTTAACTTGAACTTATTATAGTGTAATAACTGTGATAGTGGTGCTATTCTAGGAATAACAATAGTGGCATTAGTCTTCATTTTCTAATTTGCAGGTTAAACATTGACTTTTTTGAAGAAGGCAAAGGGGTCTAAGCTTTTACTTAAACTGAAAGTCTCACTCAAATTGTTATAGGTCTTCTCAGAAGCTCAGCTGAATTACTTGGTTTTGTGGGTGAGTACTGCTTTGAGCCTTAGGGAAACTTTTTACTGCAACAATTTTTTTTTAAGTGTATACGATTTTAATACCAGGTATGGTTTGAAAAAAAGTAGACTATAAGTAGTTGAATACTTTAACACTATTAATAGAAACTTTTTTTGTCTCATAAAAATTTTAATAACATAGAAACCCGACGGCCTCTTCAGGAAAGCTCAGCTCGACTTTAAGATAACTTTGGATTTGGTAATTGAATGCTTCAGTTATTAAAACAATTTGTTTATAAGCAAATGGCCCGCACTTATGGCGGTGCGTATATAGATAACTCTACAGTAAAACTCGACATGCTTTTGAAAACTTTAGTAGTATGAGTGCTTAAAGCTACTTAGGCGAAGCCTCAGAGTTAAAAGTATCTTTTTTTTAAGCAAAGTCCCCTGAAACTAGACCAATAAATTAGTTAACTTAGTCAATTTTTAAGGAAAAGGACTTTACATAAAGAAAAAGTGCAAAACTTTTTCTTATTTAATATCATACCTTAACCTCAATATTTTAAGTAAATAAGACTTGGCCAAATCAAGAATCAGTTAGCCTCTATTAGTATAAGCCTAGTAAGCTTAAACAAATTGCAGTTTTTCACTTGAGTTTACAATTCATATGTACTTCAGGGCTTTGCTGATTACTCGTACTAATATTTTAAAGAGGAGATTATTTATAGATGGCTTATTTGGCCTTAAAAGTACTTCGGGGTACAACGTCAATATTTGTTAGTTGCAGAGTTATGATGGTTCCTTTTGTCTGCTTAATAGTTCTAATTGTAATATGAAAAAAGTTTATATAAGAAAAAGTTTGGCTTCTTGTCTTTACGGGATCCTACCTCTTAAGGTGACCACAACGTCGGCGATCTTAACTTCAAACCTTTTCAAATCTTCAACTAAAGTGAATTTTACGAGCTTGCTTCTACAGAAGAAGTATTGACGTAGGAACTGTCAAAGGGCTATAATTAAAGCGTAGTTCTCATTATATTATTCTCAGGCGGCAGCTTACGCTTTTCAAAACTAAGGAGCTGCCAGGTAGCGCTACTGTAACGTCTATTTCCGTGGTTGTTCACTTTTTTTCCAAGCTGAAAAGGTTGCTAATGTTATTAAGAAGTTCTCACCCGGCGTCGAATCTTATGAGGTTCGTAAGCGTTATGAGCTTTTAGGCTGCTTGCTTTATCGACTAGACTCCCCGGACTTTACTATTGTTGTGTCCCTTTGTATTAACTAATTGACGTGTAACTATTTAAACCATCGATAAGTTGTGAGTTTAGACTGAATAATAGAACATTCTCATGCTCAGTTTTCAAAATGTTAACTTATTTAGGTCTATACCCCCACTAAAGTACAGTTTTTTGATGGTTTTTATAACTCAAAGGCCCGCAATTTTACATTTAAGAGTTTAGCGTGGACTAAGTGATTGATATATTTGGAAGCAGTTACATATAGAAAAAGCTTGTGACCTACTTGAAGATAAGCAATTTAAAATAATTCAATTTCTTTACAATCAATAAAATCATGCGCGGTGTCAGCAAGTTTACCTTATGTGCGTCGTGCAAACACTTCTCCTAAAAAGAGCGACTGACAAGGGAAACTCTATCAAAACTCTACTACAAGAAAGCAATCGCTATGAAAAACGTCAAAGGCAGCAATCTCGACAACTTTTTATTATTACTATTACAGCTATTCATCGGGGCTCTCGTCGACAATCTCCGGGATCCACTCGCTACTGTTTTCTTCATCCAACTTCTCAACTTCCTGACAACACAGCTTTTTCTTTTCCATCTCAAAAAAATTTTGGGAATGATCAGCGTTAGAGCGCTTCGGCGTGTGAGTATATTTACTATCAGACGAACTATTTATTCTGTGATTATTATTATTGCTGTTACTATTATTATTATTATTATTATCATCATTATAATTATTATTATTTCTCTCAGCAGCCGTTCCAGTCTCGACCAATTCGGTAAAGGCATTGTTGTGGAAATCATCTCCGCCAACTATTGGAGTGAGAAGGGAAGTACTCCGAACAGAAGACGGACGAGGGGGGAGAGAAGGGACCTGTTAAAGATTATCAATGAGTAACAGAACTAGTTCAGAATGCACAACACCGCAACAACTCACTCTCGGATGGACTATGAAACTGCAGACCCTTAAGGCGTTGTGGCAAATATTCGAAATCTCCGCAAAGTCACTAAACAAACCCTCTTATAAGTATAAGACTAAGATATTTTCAAACCAAAATAAATAATCTTTGTGATAATTGAAACCGTGAAAAAGGCGCAAGGCTTTGTTTAATAAAGAAAGTTGCAAAGATATGGAATTCACAAGGAATTTTAATAAAAGTTCATATAAACTACAAAGGCAGGCTAAATTTGTGAAGAGAGGATCGATGCTATGCGGAAAAGTGTTCAATGAAACTATAAAAGAAATAAAAAAAAATTATTAATCCGCGAGCATTCAACATTTTTTTTAACAAAAAAGCAAATTTGTAGGGCTAACCAAGCTGAGCACAAATCCAACTTTGAAGCTCGTTGAGAAGATCTTCGCGAATCTTCAACGGGCGAAACGATATCGCAACTGCAATAACTTTAATAAAAGACTTAAAAAGTGACTATCCACAATCACTTCATTGTATATACGAACCGTCTGCTGCATGGAGGAACAGATCAGTAGACGAAGCAGCGGGATCTTCGCCCTTTCAGAAAAAAACTAGCAAAGATAAGGGATTTATATATAACCACTACTACAAGTGATTTTGGTTTTGCAAGAGCAGTCAAAGCATTTAAAGCATCCCGAAAAACAATTGAAATAAAATTCTAGCGCGTAAAAAAAAAAACAGAGTTGCGTTACCCAACAGAATTCACACATGAAAAATTACTAATTCAAAATCAAGGTGAAAATTCCTTAACAGTTTAGAGCATAAAGAGTACACCTTCAGCTTCAGGGGTCTAAGAATTTTAAAATTTTGTTCAAAGTTTTGAAGAAATTAAGAATCTTTAAATATAACTTATGCTTAACTACAAGCAAAAAAAAAAGAGAACGTTGAAAATGCAGCAGAATCAAGCAACTTTTTTACAATCCCTTCAAAGTAAGAGGTTTTACGGGCCAGTGCCCCCGTAAGTGGCCGGAGAGAAAGCAAGGCGCATAAAAGATCCAGACCGCAGTGATAATAACTAACAAAACTGAAGCTCAGAAGGCGCCAATCAAGATTCTTGCCGTATTTTGGCTAGAAGAGAAATTATTTAAAATTATAATTAATAAATCCAAATTAATTTAAAAAAACTAACAAAGCAACTATCAAGATTAATTATGCGAGTGACAATATCAAAGATTTGCTGCAACGGTAAAGCCACAACACTGGAAAAACCAGAAAGCAAAAGCTCCTGAAGAAGAGCACATTCTACGACAAGCCTTCGTAGAAGGTAAACCGAAAGTAAGGAGGTATCCTGAGAATTACCCACAAAAAAAAATTAAAAGTAAAAATAATATTAAAGTAAATATACCATATCTAAGCTTTTTATATCTTTTTTTAAATTTAATTCTGATTCTGAATCCTCAGGAAAATAGATCTTTTCTAACATAAATAACTATATCTATAGTGCCTACCAAACAACAGAGATCTGCTACCTTCTTTTACACAGGAAAAGGCGAAATTCAAGATGTGGTGAATATTTGCGACGATTTTCAAACAAAGCAATCGCCACGATTCTCTGTTACTTTGTTAAAAAAGAGCACAAGATTGAAACAAAATAATCAAACTCTGCCGTTTGGTTTACTCGGCCGGTATGCGGAAGACTAGCCAAACAGGAAAAAAGAGCTTTTTTTAAGTAAACGGGACAAAAACTGCTAGACTAGTTTTTTTTAATAAGCAAAAAAGAAATAAATAAATAATATAAGGAAAAAAACCTGCAAAGTATTTCTGCAAGTTTTTTCAATTTCATCAACGTACGGTCTCATAGAAGATGTGAAGTTTAAAACAAGATCCCTAAGGAAATCAGTAGCAATGATCTGTATTTTGTAGTTTCCGGTTGTTAAAAATAGTAACTCCGTCTATAATATTGATGATTGTTTCAGTACGTATCATCTACTCTAATTTTGCTTGTATATAGCGCTTACGTTCACAATCTTTTTCAGATGAACTTCCAAGGTCTTCTTGCGTAAAAAAGGAACTTTAATAGAATGCAATAGCTAAAGTAAAAGAAAAAAAATTAAATTGTAAAATTTTAAAGCGTTGCTGTACCATTTTTAAAAGAGTCTTATTAGCGCTGACAGAAAGCGAAGTATTTTCCAAGTCATTCACCGTAAGCGTCGCCAATTGTAATAAAATTGAAAGCCAAGTTTCATAATATTTCTCATACCAACTTGTTTCTTTAAGCCGGCAAAAAAGTTCATACAAAAATAAAATTCCTAATAAGCTTTAAGTAAAATAAACGCTGCGGGTGCATAGGAAAATTTTTTACAGATAATTACTTAAATAATTGATAGAACATTGTAAAATTTAAAAGGAAAGACTAAGCCAAATTATAATGGTTATACATTTTAGAAAAATCCTTGGCATTAAGCAAGTCATTTAAGTTTGCCAACAGCTTAACCGACAAAGTTTCTTCATTTAAAAGCGTAAAAGATTGATTATTTATAAATAACTCTAATACACATTCTTTAACCCACTCACATGGTCCACTAACGGGAGTATTTTCAAGTAAAAATGAAAGAGTATCGCTAATATCTGAAGGAGTTATACTAGCGAGCATGCCCATAAAAGAAAGAGAGAATAAGAAAAAAGGTAGAAGCCAGAGTTATATATATTTAGTAATATGAACATGACACTTGTTTCTGGTCACGTTGAGTATGGGGTTTCCCAAGAATTATTTTAGTTGTTACTGTCCGTGCCAAAAAAAGTCCTAATTTTTTTCAATTTAATAATTTAATACTGATAAAAACGCCACAATGACTGTTTATGACAAAGTGGTTGTTAAAAAAATATATATTTAAGCCCAACATCTCTGTGTATCTTCCTTCCTTAAAAAGCAGTGCAAAGCTTGGCGTTGAACTATTAACTGAAGTGGGCGAGAACTTCAACAGTTGAATAATACAAAAACTGTATATTATTACATTGGAATATAT